TGTGAACAAAGGAAAGAAATGCAACATGAGTAAATGTCTCCTCAAAATTAATGTCATATTCCTGTGTGTATCATCTGGCTACAAATCGGGCCTTGTAGCACTTAACAGACCCATGTAAATGAGTCTTGATCTTGTACACCTATTTACATCCTACCGTAGACTTTCCAGGAGGCAAATCAACCAGATCTCATGTCTGGGTTTTGGTTAGTGCATCTAACTCCACTTTCATTGTTTGTTGCTATAAAGGGTTAAAAAATGTCTCACGAAAAGTGTGAAGTTCATGTAAGGTTTTAAGGGTATGATAACAATGGAAATCATTAAGATGTGCAGGTGGAGGTTTTACCCGAGTGGAATGGCGAAGACTCGAAGTAGTTGTGCTGCAAGAAGACTCGAATTGGATAGATGATTGGGACTCGGTCGAAGGAGGATTGACTACCTCTGATGATTCTGAAGGTTGAGAATCAGGAAAAAGATCCCCAGAGTATATTAATGGAGGAATAGGAAATGTATTTTCGGAGACATTAAATTTGGACAATGTATGAAACATCTTGTGTTCTTAGAAGACTACATGACGAGAGACTTTGAGTTGTTTAATGATTAGATCATAACACCGATACCCTTTTTGTCCAATTCCGTATCCAAGAAAACAACAAAGTTGAGCACGTGATTGTAATTTTGTGCATTCATGGGGTTGGAGAAGAACAAAGTATGTATACTCAAATACTCTAAGATGACTGTAGTTAGGTAGTTTTCTAAATAGGCACTCATATGGTGTTTGGTTGTGCAAGAGATGTGATGGTACATGATTGATAGTGTATACAGTAGTGAGAGCCGCTCCCCTAAAAAAGAGGCAGGAACAGAAGCAAAAAGGGTGAATGAGCGAATTGTGTCTAGAATATGTCGAAACTTGCGCTCAACTCGACCATTCTGTTGTGATGTGTTGGTGTTTGAGTATTTGAAAAAATGCATTTTGTTACTATTCCATAGCAACGATTTTTTTTTTTTTTTTTTTTGAAAAATTGAGTTAAAATCATTTTTGTAAAATCACGATAAATGTCAAGTAACTCAGAATAGTTTTTCATAAAAATATTCACGTGAATCGTGAAAAATCATCAACAAATATTACAAAATACCGTGATTTTCCCATGGTAGACATAGGAGAAGGTCCCCAAATATCAGAATGAATAAACTCAAAAGTAGCAGAAACACACAACTCACTTATACTAAAAGGTAACGCAGGTTGTTTGCCTAGCTGACATGAAATGCAATCAAAACTCTTAGTTTTAACTTGACCTACCAAGCCTTTAGAGACTAAAGTTTTAACACGAGCAAGAAAGTATGACCTAATTAGTGGGAGTGCTATAATTTTCTTGTATCCTAAGAAGCATGAATACAGACATATGACACGAATACGATACGGATACCCCGACATGTTAAATTCTAAAAAAAGTAGGACACATATACGAAGTGGACATAGAACTTTAATTAATTTTAATTTCTATACTATAAGTTACATAAGTCACAAAGGAAGATGCTATTCAAATATTAAAAAGAAAATATTATATTATATACTGTATTATTATTCTATCATGTAATTGTAGTTATGTTTTTGTTTCTTATAGCTTGAACAGTTTTATGTGCGTTCATAATATTGTTGTCAGGATTGTTTTGTTTTTGTTTTACATAAAATGAAGAGTATATGATGTATTGGTCGAGTCTTCGAGATGTGTCAACTAAGTGTTCGCAATAATAAAATATATTTTTAATGAACACGAAGTGTCAAACACGTGTTTAAAAAAGTTCACGAAGTGTCTGTATTTAACACGAACATGACATCTCATAAAAGTGTTCGTATTTCTTACCTTCTATCTAAATTTGGTGCAAAAATTGGTTATATAAAGTGAAATTCGGACTAATTCAAAATTTGGGTGCAAACAGAAAATGAGAAATGAATACAAGTTCCCCATTTTATTAGGTGAAGTTGATGCGAGAAATTAGGAAAAATATTGACATGAGAAGATTTGGGATGGAAATAGTCAACGTCAACACCAAATGAAATAAAATGGGACTATTAATCAATTACTTAAAATTCAATTAATGTTTTGAAATGCAAGCTTTGGACAGTGTATATTCGAAGATAATTTCAACACGTTAGTGAGATTAATTTTCCTGCCATTTATTCTAATTTCAGTCACTATCTATAAGACACCCTACCTAATTTCGTTTATGTCTTGGAAGACTAATCTAAAATTCCACAAACTCTTTTGACTTTGTCATACATTAGTGAAAGCTGTCGTGACAAACACTGCCTAACAAAAAATATAATCAAGAAAATGTAAATCCTAGGCAATACATAAAAACTTATAGGGTACGCTTACAGTGAAGATTGGCGAAGAGTTTCCACCATAAGAAAAGAAAAATAAAATAAATAAATAAAAATAACCATAAGAAAAGAAAAATAAAATAAATAAATAAAAATAAAACGACAGCAATAACGTAGATTAAAATTTTAATATTATCTCTATTAAAATTATAAAAAAAAAATTACTATTGCCCTCACTCAATGATTTAAATTCTTTTTAATATTGATATTAAAGACTATCACAGTCCTCACTTATATAATTTTCTGGATTCATCACTGATTTCAGCTTTCAGTGTTCAAAATTTCCCACGTAACATCTCTTTATCACCCTTATATGTTGGTTTAGAACTGAGATTAGATTTTGAGCGTGTCATACAAAAACATGTCGCAATGCGATTCGGACCGAAACAAAATTCAAGCCGCAACTTCACAAAAACAAACATCGATGAAAATGAAATGGAGGCTCCAACCCTAAATAAAGAAAGAAAAAAAGAAGGGGAAGTCCAAAATTTCATTGATTAGAAAAATAGATATTAAGAGAAACCTCAAGCTTCATTGCAACAGAATCTTAATGGGTGCGAGCAAGAGTACATCAGTGAGCTTCAAAAAGCTATTAAGCTGGTTTTGTCTTGCAATGTAAGGGTGTGAGTTTCTTGTCATTGTAAAAATAAGTGAAGGAGGCTAAATTGGTACTTTGGGTTCCCATCTTATATCAAATGACAATAATAATCCTAACTTTACAAGTGAATGAATTATTATCATTTTTTTAAAAAAATTACACAACCCTTTCATATATCCCATTATGTCTAAAATCTTTAATGTTTTTACTCTTTTGACAGAACCCCAAAAAAATAGTACGAAAAAAAAGGGCCAAAAAAAATTTAATAAATAAATTCGTTGTTGAATAAATGAAAGAATAAATATTAAATGGAGGTATTTTTCTACAGTAATTTTTTAAAAAATGGGGTATAATAAATTTATTATAAATAATAAATTAATCAATTTAGAAAATAGTAGTTGTAAATCTATTTATTTTTTAATTTTTATGATAAATTGATACTAATAATAAAATTAAGGTAAATAGTATAATTAATATTAAGATAAGAAAAAATATAATGAAAATAATTTAATAAAAAATAACAAATTTAATGAGAAAGGTTAAAATAGTGTTTTGTGATGGGGTAGCCAGGGACAGTTTTTAGTTTAAGAGGGTTAATTGCAAAAGACAATAATTCAAGAGTGTTTTTTTTTTTTTTTTTTTTTTTTTTTTTCTGGCTCTTTAGTCAAAATAAAAGTCAATCTAGTCCAAACCCTCAAGACGAACCGGTCACAAGACAACCAATGTTGAGAAGGTAATAGCAGTTCTACACATTAGTGTCCAATTTCCAAAGTCGTTAGGTAGAAAACCATTACATTAAGGCTCCGTCCAAGATATAAAATATTTTTTTGAAAAAATATTTTTATTTTTTTAGGTAAAATATTTTTTTAATTTTTACTTTTTCAATGTTTTGACAAAAGTGTAGTTCAAGATTGAGATTCACGTATAAAATTACTTGCCAGAAATTAATGAGTAAGTTGTTTTTATTAAGTTTCAATATTATTTTTTTATTTGTAAATATTTTACAATAACCAAACACCAAAATATAAAAAAATATTTTCTAAAAAATATTTTACATCCAAACAAACCGGGCCAGGCTGTGCCCAGCTACATAACTCACATGATATCTGTAAAATAGAAGACTATAATACATCTTAGAGAGAAAATCTGAAAGAGAGGTGCAATTCATTGTTACGCAAAGAGCAAACAGAGGGGAAAGGATATGCAGGTGCGGTCATTTTCATTTTACCTCAACTTTTTGTCATCATACGTGAGGAATTTCCCAATTTTTCGATTCATCTGCTCGTGGGAGTTCCAGGGATAAATTTTAGAAATTTCAGAGATAAATCCAGAGAGAATCAAAGTCGTAGGTTCTAATTCCGAATTTTCAATAGGGTTCTCAGGATCATGGCATCATTTGTACTCCCTCTGTCCCAAAATAGTTGGGCACTAACAGTTCCCAAAGTGCCCAACTATTTTGGGACAGAGGGAGTATAATATAACGAAGCCATTTCATTCAAACAGTGCTGCTATTTTGTGACATCAACGCATGGCATTAGCATAACAAAAAGTAAAATAATTGACCTCTAATTTTCTCTATGACATGCAGTGTTTCTAGGGTTCTGGTGAAAGTTGTAACTACCCTTGTATCAACTATAAGGGTTAAAAGAAAAACATCACCAAACCTACTGTTATTGATATGATATCTAACTATATCTTTTCACCAAGAATGTGTGTTCTACAGAGATAAATGCAGCTTAAAACATTCTGTATCATCAGATATCGTTAATAAAAACTAAAAATAAGACATGTCTAAGCAGTGAATCAAATGGAAGCTGAAATAAATTTCATGCAGGGAAAGTGATTATCACAGGGTAGTCAAAATCCATCAAACAGCTCTGGTATTGTGATAGTAACTTTATATTCTCGGACACCCTGGTCAAATGGCATTATTAAGATTCAGAAATATCTACCATATCACATTGCAGAATACTAACTTACGTAAAAATGCATGCCAGAATGATCTACACACTAAGGAGCTACAGAGAAATGATATATTATTGAATGCAAGAGGTAATAAACTATGATGGGCGGAATCGTACCCGAGATTTCTCAAGTTTACGAAAGCTATACAGGTCCTGATATCTTGCAGACGGTTCTCTTTATCACCATGTAAACACATCTTTAACATACAAGTTACAACCACCCCGTCTAAAAGAAAACATCTCAATATTACACACTATAACCACTTCTTTATTTTCTGCGTAAATAGAACGTAGGAATATTCTCCAACCAATACACCTTTATTCTTTTCTCCCCCATGTACAAATGCCACAATTGGCTGTTCTCCTGTCCTCCCCATCTCATTATATCATTCGTTCAACATTTCTCGGTTGGGTTTGCAACGTCTACAATGTTCACCACAACCAATTTTCTCTTCAATTTTTTTACTTTTTCTTTTTAGTTGAAAAACAGTGTCATAATTGGGACTTCAAATGATCTCATAGCCACTCTCAGCTTCTTTCATGGCTACTCTTAGCTTCTTGGATCTTCTTCTGGAGTTCATTAAACATCAACACAGAAGACTCCGCATAGTTACTTAAGTGACCAAGAAAACCAACCAAGCTAGAGCGAAAGCGGTCAAAACCTGTTATCCAGTCCTCTGAAGCTTCATCTCTCAATACATTAACTACTGGATCACTATTGCCACCAGCCTGCCAGGATTTTGACCGAGTATGATTCATACCTTTCCCCTGGTTCTTTTCATGATGGGGTAAGAACCGGGTAATTTCAGATGCCAAGACCTTTATAGATTCTGTAACTGGCTTTGTCGGCAAGGTATTAAGCAAGTCTAACCAGACACCACAGGTGACATATATGGGCGGGCCAAAATGCCTTAACGATGGGGTCTGGTTCCTTTTTCTCCTGGAAGATTTCTGTTGAAGAGTGACACACTTTAAAAGCCATCCATTTATAGCCTGCACGTATGATTTCTGAGCATCAATCCACTTGGTAAAACTTGTAGATAGAGAGTTCAGTTCATGTTCTAGATGGGTGGTAATCTGCCGATGTGATTCCGATTGAATGGAGATTTTGGCATTTCCACTGTTATATGCAATTGAGATGGTGTGAAACTGAAGCTTGTGGCATTCAAACATCACCACCCACATCCGTCTTAGCCTGTCAACATCGACAAGAATGAAGCAGATGATGCTGATAAGCTAAGCATTCAATTAAGCTATTTCAACACAATAAATAGTCATGCAATTGCAAGGAAATACGCAAGTATATGTATACCAGTATACGTTTAAAAAGACCATTACCTAACATTGGTTTTGCTAAAATACAAGGTGCATATATGTATATATATTAATAAACGTAAATATATGTATGTTCATATATATATTTTTTCCTGAATGTGTTTCCATTTTATTGATACAAATAAATCATATAAGTACAAAGGATAAAGTAATCAGATGGAACTGGTCACAAGGCAAAATAAATGAAGAGACTACTAGTTCAGGGCATACCCCAAACTAAAAAAGAAAATACATGAAAGTCTCAAAAGGACATTTCAAAAATCCTAGGCATCAGAATATGTTTGCTAGATCAGAAATAGATAGTCTAACTGCCCTTCACTCTATGTTCATATTTTTGTCTAACATTTGACATACATATACATATATTTTTAAAAAAATTGAGTTAAGATCCTTAGACAAAGAGCAAGAAGTGTTATTTTCACATCCCAGTCTATTTGGGGATTCACATATTAGGTAACCCTACCATACTTGTCATGCACACCATATATATATCAGCTGGCTCACATTTATGCTTATAAATGAAATAAAATTATAATTTGGAGCATATGTAAATGGGATTAGCCAATCTTTGATGCTACTAACATTTGACATGCATGCTGAGCAGGACGACAGTACTTATTCTAACAGTGTTTCGGCAAAAGATGATTTATATATAATGTTAACGTCAATAGGACTTTGGTTGGCAAATTGTGTCCAAAACTTCAGTCTGTAATTCTATTTTTGTTTCTAGTTTAGAAATTTGTGTTATAGTTACCTCTTGTCCAAGGACATAATTGGAATTGAAGCTACAATTAAGCGCAAAAAGTGATCTCCAATGCCAAGGGTATGAACTATGAAGGTAAATTTGACACTCATATATGCATTCACCAATTTATGGTTCATGCATTCATCAATTAAGGTATCACATAGTTCATGTTTGATTCTCTAAAATCTTATTTGGTATATCTAAAATTGCTTTTGAAAAATTCTTTAATTTCAACATCCCTCTTGAAAAAAGGACGAGGAACTTCTTCTTTTTCCTAGTTGATACTCACAACTTAGTAAGTAATTACGGAAAGATAGTCTTGTTTTGCTTTGACTTTTCAAATGGGACAACTAATATGGGACATCCCTAAATGGAAAGATGGACTACTAATATGGGATAGAGGGAGTAATATTTTGAGACTTAAATAATGAAACAAAAATGATCAATATAAAGTGGACATCAATATGGCAAGGATTTGTTATTTTTCTTTAATATTATAGGTTTATTCTTCTTGCACATTTCCAACCGTTTTTATTCAATATTAGGTATATTTTGATAATTGCCATCCATAATAAATGTCTTTTGTCAATAATTCAAAGAATGAGAAATGGTTGTGAATTAGAGGATTCACAAATTGAATTCGTGGATTGACAAAATTGAATTCGTGAATTATGGAAGGATTTGCCCTCAAAGCGCTAATTCAAGCATGGAGCGTGAGAGCAAACAAGAAGTCAGAAGGGTTGTGTGACTTGGGTTGTGCCTACAGAGAGTTTAACACTCGGAGTAATCCAAAAAGAATAAACTAGACGAGTAGACCAGTGATCGAATTGCTTGAGGAAAAACGGATCATGTGAGGAGTGGATCTGTTGATGGAGCAAACAGACGTCCTGGAGGTGCAGAGTTCGACGTCAGTCAGTGACAGGAACTAGGAGTTCTAGGGTTTGAAAACTGTTAACATAGATGTAAATCTCTTTCTCGTACAGTGAATTTAATCTAACATAACTAGGTCTTGTGGTTTTTCCCTTCTGTGTGCATTGTGTTATTTACTTTATTGATATTACTCTAACTGAGAGATTTGGTTTTATGGTGGATTGAGGGGATTAATTTTTATTACAACGATAACAACAAAAAAACAAAGCCTTTTTCCCAACTACTTGAGGTCGTCCACATAAATCTTTTTTTTCTACTCCGCTCTATCTAAGGCTATGGCCTCAATTAAACCACGTGATATTATATCCTTCCTTAATAATTCTACCCACATTAACTTTGATCTTCCCCTACCCCTAACATTAGGCTTAATGTGGACCATGTTGCTCCTCTTAACTGGTGCTCTTAAAAGGTTTTCTTTGCACATGTCCAAACCATCTTAACCAGTTTTCCTTCTTTTTATTTCCCATTGGATTGAATGGATGAATTATTGTTGTGTGAGTTTAATTTTCGAATAGTCATTGATTAAGTTAAAATTCAAAAATTACAGTGGGGGATGTTCCAGACATTTCCTCCTTAGCTGCAATTCTTGGGTGCAGAGTGGGCGCTTTTCCTCTTCCTTATTTGGGATTGCCTTTGGGAGTTTCCTCTACGAGAGTGGGGAACTGGGACCCGGTGATTAATAGATATGAGAAGAGACTAGCAGGTTGGAAAAAACAATATCTTTCAAAGGGGGGGAAAGTCACTCTCATTAAGAGTACTCTCTCGTCCCTTCCTACCAACTTTCTTTCTTTGTTTCAAATCCCATGCTCTGTTGCTGAAAGGATTGAAAAAATTCAATTTTCTATGGGGCAGAAGAGGAGAAGAGTTTAAGTATCATCTTGTTAATTAGGAATCTTGTTAATTAGGAACAAGTTTGCAAACCATTGAAATTTGGCGGCCTAAGCATTTGTAAGCTGGTTCCTTTTAATAGAACTCTTTTGGGAAAGTGGTTATGGAGATTTGGTAAGGAACGCCATCGCCAGCAGCGAAGAGTTGTCTCGTGTCGCTTGGAGAGGAGAGTGGGGGTTGGTCCTCACGTCCAGTCTCTGTTACGGGAGGCGTTGGTGTGTGGAAATTCATTCGGAAGGGTTGGGGTGTTTTCTCCTCACACATTAGATTAAAGGTTCGTGATGGTAGGCATGTTCGTTTTTGGGAGGATTTATGGTGCGGTGATCAGTTGTTGTCTCACTCCTTTCCTAGACTATACAGTATTGCTGATAATAAGCACGCCTACGTAATTGATTGTTATCATCTTGATAACATTGGAGTTACGTGGGATGTGCGTTTTAGGCGCTCCTTTCAGGATTGGGAGATGGAGGAAGCATGTGTTTTTTCGGATCTGTTGTATAGACAGAAGGATATTGGCAAAAGGTGTGACGCTATGTTGTGGGTCCCGTTAACCCATGGTAGGTATGGTGTCCGATCCATGTTCTTGTGTTTATCTAATTTCATTGGTTACGATTCAACATGGAGGTCTATTTGGTGTTCTAAAGCTCCTCTTAGAATTGCTTTCTTCGTTTGGATTGCCCCATTAGGAAAGATTTTGACATTGGACAATCTGAGAAGGAGAGGTAACACCATTGTTAATTGGTGTTGTCTATGTAAAGCAGATGGAGAATCCGTGGATCACATTCTTATGCACTGTCCTGTGGCGTACGACCGTTGGAATTTCATATTTAGCATGTTTGGCGTTTATTGGGTAATGCCTAAGCATTCCTTACAACTGATCAACGCATGGAAACGATGCCCAGTGAAAGGTCATGCTCGTGATTATTGGAGGATTGTTCCACATTGCGTTTGGTGGTGCCTTTGGCGAGAGAGGAATAACAGAAATTTTGAAGACAAGGAATCGTCTTTAGCAAATCTAAAAATTCTTTGTTCTCTTTTCTGTTATGTAAGAGGAAGCGTGTGCTCCTCGATTGATGACTTTTTTGATCTTTTGGATGCTATTGGTCCTTAGGTCTTTTTTTTCGTTCTTGTATTAGGGACGCGTTCCCCTTTTGAACGCTTTTCTAATATACTTTTTACTTATCAAAAAAAAAAAATGTTCAAATTCAAAAATTACATAAACTTGGTTAATTTAGCTTTCAAGACATATTCACCTCTCTAATTTAACAGATTGTTACTCCCTAGATTTGTTCTGAAGACCAGCTTGGTAATGTTCTTACAAAGCCACTTGCTCGTCCTGCTTTTAAGAGCATGTGTTCCAAGCGGGGCATTTGAATTTGAATGCTCCAACTTAAGGGGGAGTGTTAGAGAGTTAGCTTTGGTTATTTCTTTAATTCATTAAGGGCATTATTGTATTTTTATCCTTTCAATATAAATAGATGAGAGGTGTGGGAAACCCTAAATATACTCTCATATTTTACAGAATTCTTCTCCTCTCTTTTTCCTCTTCCCTGCTACTTCTACAGACACAACATATTTTACTTTAACTCTCTAATTTCATTCCTCTTTGTGAATAATCAAGTTCAAGTAATGAAATTGTTCACTTTTTAGTATTTGTTAACCCTTGATATTCACTACATCCCCACTTTTTTTTCTAGTCTTGTTGAAATTAGATTCCGAATATTCAGTTTTAGTCCTGCTTGTCCTAAACTCTCTTAATTTTAGAACAACTCTCCACAATTCCAATTTTAGCAGTTATGGGGACCGTGTTTTAGTTTCATCACTTAAAACAATATTATAAGCACATCGCACACACCATGAAATCTCATCCTGAACGTGTTATGTCAGTTCATCCACTACAAAGGTAAAAGGATGTGGATTAAAAGTCCATCCTTGATGTTAACTTACAATAATCAAAAATTGATTTGTTTCTCCACATTTATTCTAACTATAGCCACGATTCATACATATCGTTTATCATGACATTATAACTTTTTGGCACTTCTTTCTTTTTAAAAATCCACCAGCTTCATGGACCTATTACAGGCTTTATTCAACTCATAAAATATATGGAAAATTTTCTTCTTCTCTTTATCTTTTCATTAGTTGTTCAGTAAATGGACAGTTTTGTTGTTACCTCCTTGCATAATCCACATTGATTTTCTGACACTGTAATTCCATGCCTTGTCTTTGTTTTTACACTCCAAAGTTCCACAGCTGACTAATTAATTTAATACCCCAATAATTAATACAACTTTGCCTGTCTCCCTTATTTTTCTATAATAGGTACTAAAATAGTTTTATGCCATTAATCCGCCATTTTCTTGGACTAATAATATCTTATCAAACAATTTTCCTAGCAAGACACACCATCAATCCCTAGACACATTCAAGTCTCAACAAAGATGTCATCTGGTCCTAAAGCTTATTACATAATTCGTCTTCTGCAATACTTTAACCTAGTTCAGCTTGATCCAGTGAGAGGTAAAAAAAAACATTCTATAGGTGTGTCTTCACCCTATTCGTTTCCAACTATTTTTAATTTGTCGTGTCGGCATGTCCATATTTTGTCATGTCTAAATTCAAATCACCACTATAAATGCAATTTCTAATGAAGTCAAATTTCTCATCATGATCGTATACTTGTCCAGGTTAAGGACATTGGAACCAGCTATGATGAGTACATGGTATCTTTTCTATCGTTCTCATTCACGTGATATTTCAAACAATTCACGATGTACATTGAGTCAAAATTCTACCAGTTGCTTTTACTAACTCGGGCCAAAAGTTTAACTAAAACAAAATTGTCAAATTGATAATACTTCCATGATATAAATCAGTTCATTTATATTATATAAAAAGCTCCTGGGCCAGGAGAGTTACATAAAGGGCATCCATATTTGAGATAAAATAATTATCAGTGTTTATGTTAAAATTTAAGTAGTTCGCAAATTCAATAACTATCAGTCTCCATATTATATATCACTAAATGATCTAACTCAGATATTGACAGCTAATGAGAAGAGAGTATCAAGCACATACCCTTCAATCAACTCCTCCAGTTGTGGCTGGAGCTCTTTGTCTCTCAATTCCTCAATTTTCTTCGAAATTGAATCAATTCTGTGAATTGCTACTCTGATTCGTGAGTGCAGATCCTTGACCATAGCACGAGTTTTATCAATCTTTTGCGAACTTTCTCCCTGTGATTCTAATTGTCTAAGAAGTCTACACTTCATGTCATATTCCTTTCTGACCATCTCACTAGCCTGAAATGAAGAAAATTCTTTTAAGTGATACAACTGAAAATCATGGAACTTCAAAATATCTTATGAAATTTAAGAGAGACAGGTATAAACATGTGATTGAGAGTCCAAACATGTGAAGTAGAAGCACATAGTAGAATATTATTTTATAGTCAAAGGAAAAGTATTATATCATAAGTAACTATGAGTAATTATAATGAGTAAATTAAACATTCGATAAAATAAATTTTAGCTTCATCCACCATCAGGTGCGCCCTATTAAAATGGCACCATTCCAGTTGAATGACAACTTTTCCTTTCAAATCCAAAATTTTCATGTACCCGAATAATTTAGCTGCAATTCAGTGGCCTGCTTTACCTAATGCACAAAGTGCATTGGAATTATTCAATGAAGAGAAAGTTCAATTGTGCATGGTTAAATATTTTCAAAAAAGAAAAAAGAAATATTTGTTTTCTTTCTTTTGTTTCTCTCTCATTGTGTATCTCTCCTTGTGGTTCAATTTATCTTTTTGTCAATACGGTAACAAAATGAAAAGATTAAATATATATATATATATATATAGTTGCTTTCTTTCTTTTGTTTTATCTCTCATTGTGTAGCTCTCCTTGTGGTTCACTTTATCTTTTTGTCAATTCCACAACAAAATGAGGAAGAAATGTAGAAAGTTGAAAATATTTATTCTTATGTTAAAGGGAAGACATGAGAAAGGGAAAGAGATGAGATATCTTTAAATGTTTGGAGCCTTGTGATATTATATAGTTCTGATATTCATGATTAATGGTTTCTTGCTTTATGTATCATTTTTATTCGTCTTCCGAGAACAGTATTATGCTCTAGTATATGTGTTCTGTTAGTTTTGCAGATTGTAGAAGTATAATTTGAAGTGATCCAGATCAAGTGATTGGTCTCTTTTTTTTCCTTTCACATGTAAGAGCAAATTTCTTTATAAAAGCAAATTTCTCGATATAGAAAATAGTATATAAGGACGAATTTGCACACTTCATGTGAAAGAAAAAAAGAAAAAAAAATTATTATATACTTTTTGTGAAAGAAAGATAAAAATATAAAATACAAGAACCTAATACCCATAGGTCGAATGCCATTATTTCCATGAAGTTCCAAATTATATCTTGGAATGTCTGTGGTCTCAATGATTTGGACAAGAGAAAGGTGGTGAAGTTGGCGGTGAGAAAGTGGGGGCTCATGTGGTTTGTTTGCAAGAGACGAAGTTTGCTTGTATGTCAGGTAGGGTGGTAAGGAGTCTTTGGGGTGGGTGATTTGTTGAGTGGGAAGCACTTGATGCCGTTGGCACTTCGCCCGGGGGGGCGGGGTGGTAGTATTCTTGTCATGTTGGATAGGAGATGGGTGTCGAGGGTGGACATTTGGAGGGGGAGGCTCTCTATCTCTTGTGCTTTTGTTATGGAGGAGGATGGCTTTAGGTGGGCTTCCTCCGGTTGGTCCGGTGGATGATGGGGAGACAAATTCTTTGGCACGAGCTCGGCTTTGTGAGCGGGTTGTGGGCCCTCCCGTGGTGTGTTGCTGGGGACTTTAATGTGTAGATCCCCGTTCGAGAGATCTACAGGAGGAAGATGGTCTTCAGCCATGGAGCAATTCTCGGAGTTCATTGACAACCACCACCTTTTTTATTTGCCTATAAAGGGTGTGGCAAAAACTTGGTCTGGTGGTAGGGAGATAACTACCCTTTCTCGGTTGGATACATTCTTGGTTTCCAGGGATTGGGAGAACGGGTTACTGGATGTGCTCCAGGCAGCCTTGGCTAGACCGGTTTCTGATCATATTTCATTGGTCTTGGATTGTGGGGGGTTGAGATCCCGGAGTACCCCCTTTCGGTTTGAGAATATGTGGCTTAGAGCAGAGGATTTCCATGGGAAAGTCCGTTCTCAGTGGGATGAGGCTACAATGATCGGTACTTCGAGTTTCATTTTGGCAGGAAAGCTTCAGTTCTTGAAGGCAAAAATTAAAAGGTGGAACAAGGAGGTGTTTGGGAACTTGGAGTGGAGGACGCACAGGGCCCAGCTGAGATTGCTGAGATTGATCGGTTAAAAGGAATGTGTGGAACTGTGGAGACTCAGAAGCGTCGGAGAGCAGAATGTCAAGCGGAGATTGCTGAGATTGCTATTTCGGAGGAGATCTCGTGGCGTCAGAAGTCTCAGGCTTTATGGCCCAAATAAGGTGATCATAATACAAGGTTCTTTCATAGGTTGGCCAATGCTCACAGGAGGGGCAATCACATTGGGAGGATTTGTGTTGATGAGATGGATTTGTGTAGAAAGGAAGAGGTGCGTAAGGGGTTTGCCTCGTACTATCAAAGACTTTACACTGAGACCTATAGGTGGAGACCCCGGCCCGGAGGTTTGCACTTTGATTCAATTTCTGATATGGATAAAGATGGTTTGGAGATTCCATTCACTGAAGAGGAAGTGTTGAAGGCGCTAAAAAGTTGTAATGGCAACAAAGCCATGGGCCTGGATGGCTTCATTATGAGATTCATGTTAGAAAGTTGGGGTGTGGTCAGGGGTGAGGTGATGGGGACATTCCAGGGGTTCCATTCTCATAGACGGTTTGAGAAATCTTTGAATGCAGCTTTCATCACTCTCATTCGCAAGAAAGGTGGAGCTACTGATGTCAAGGATTTTGGACCTATTAGTTTGGTTGGGTGCATGTACAAACTTATAGCCAAAGTCCTTGCTTCAAAGATTAAGGGATGCCTTAGATGGAGATATCTTAGAACCCCATAATGCTTTTATCAGTGATCGTCAAATTCTGGATTCTACTCTTGTTTCTCGTGAATGTGCGGACTCTAGATTGAGTAGTGGTATTCCAGGAGTTCTCTGTAAGCTTGGTATTGAGAAAGCCTACAATAATGTTAGTTGGAGTTTTTTGTCGTAAATGTTAGAGTGGTTGGGCTTTAGGGAGAGATGGAGAAGGTGGATCGAGTTCTTCATTTCGTCAGTGAGGTTTTCGATTCTTGTGAACTGGGCTCCGTCCGGCTTCTTTGGCAGTTCTCGGAAAATGAGACACGAAGATCCTCTCTCTCCTTTTTTGTTCATCATTGTTATGGAGCCTCTCAGCAGGTTGATGAGGAGGGTCGTGGACTTGGGATTCATTAGGGGCTTCAAGGTGGGTAAAGATTTGGATCATCAACTCGAGATCTCCCATCTGCTCTTTACGGATGATACTTTGGTGTTTTGTGATGCAGATGTGTCCCAACTGAGATACTTGAGGTGTGTTTTGGTTTGCTTTCATGTTGTCTCTGGCCTAAAAGTGAATGCGAGGAAGACCTCCTTAGTCCCTGTAATGGGGGAGGTGCATGACATTGCTAATCTAGTCGCGATCCTAAGGTGTGGGGTTTCTTCTTTCCCCATTTCTTATTTGGGTTTGCCTTTGGGTTCACTGTTGAGAAAAGTGGGGGGCTAGGACCTTGTGATTGAGAGGTTTAAGAAGAGGCTTGCGGGGTGAAAGAAGTTACATCTTTCTAAGGGTGGGATGGTCATCCTCATAAAAAGCATGTTGTCAAGTCTTCCTACATATTTCCTCTCTCTTTCAAATTCTGGCCTCCGGTGGCTGAAAAGATTGAGAAGCTCCAGCGGAATTTCCTTTGGTGTGGATTAGGGGATGAGTTCAAATATCATCTTGTTCGGTGGGAGTATGTGTGTATGCCTATCAGTTGGGTGCCTTGGGTATCGGGGGGTTGATCCCTTTTAATAGGGCTCAGTGGGAGCATGTGTGCAGGCCTATTCAGTTGGGTGGCTTGGGTATCATGAGGTTGATCCCTTTTAATAGGGCTATGATAGGGAAGTGGTTGTGGGGATTTGGAGGTGAGTGCCATTGGTTATGGATGAGGGTCATCTCATGCTGCTTTGGGGAGGAGAGAGGTGGGTGGTGTCCTGGAGTGGTTAGATTTCCCAGTGGCGTTGTTTGGAAGTTTATTCGGAAGGGTTGGGATGAATTTTCACATTCAAAGTTCGAGACGGCAGGGACACTTAGTTTTAGGAGGACTTACGGTGTGGCAAGCGTTTGTTGGCTTCTTCGTTTTTAGGATTGCCGTTGACAAACATGCTTGGGTGGCCGACTGTTATTGGCTTGATAGCGGATCACTTGGGAAGTGCATTTTCGGTGACAATTTCATGATTGGGAATTGGACGATGTTTTTGACTTGCTGGATCTGCTGTGTAGATAGACGCTGGATGGGGGAGGCCTGATTTCCTCATTTGGGTGCCCTAACCCAGGGGAGATGTGATGTCCGATCCTTTTTCTGCTGCCTCTCAGGCTTCTCAGGGATTGATTTTCCTTGGAAGACGATTTGGCGCTCAAAGGCTCCCTTCAGGTGGCTTTTTTTGTTTGGATTGTTTGGGGCAAGATTCTGACTCTTGATAACCTCAAAAGGAGACAGGTTACGGTCAATTGGTGTCACATGTGTAACAGGGATGGAGAGTCAGTAGATCATCTTCTTTTGCATTGCCCTATGGCTCATGACTGTTGGAGTCTGATTTTTTGGTATGTTTGGTATGTAGTGGGTTATGCCCTGGTCTTCGAGAGATTTGATTGATTCTTGGAGAGGGTGTGGTGTGGGTTCTCAAGCTCGTTATTTTTGGAGGGTGGCAAACCTTTGCGTTTGGTGGTGCATCTGGAAGGAACGAAAAAGTAGATCTTTTGATGGGGAAGAATCTCCCATAGGAATGTTAAAATACCGCATTATTAGTTGTCTTTTTTGTTGGGGATGGGTAGATATTGTACATCTTTAGAGGAGATTGTTGATCTTTTGGGCTCCTTGGGTCCTTAAATCCCTTCTTTTTTTTTTTTTCTTTTTTCTAGGCTTTGGCCTTTGTGTATTCTTAGGATGCATTCCCTTTTTGAACGGTTTCAAATACATTTTTACTTATAAAAAAAAAAAATCATAAGCTTCCTAGGCTACCTAAATCTACAAAGTTCTTTGAGATTTCAACATATTTTGAGTTCAGAGGCTCAAACTTTTAAGAGTATGATTTATTTTATTATTGAGGGTAGTATTGTCCTTTTCTCAATTTGTTAGTTTAGGTCTAATTATATTATTATGTATTGTATTGTAGCGTTTTTGTACAATTGAATATACAGAGGATGATCTTCTTTCTTTCTAATTTGCTGTGCAAACATTCCTTTGCAAAATCTTTCATGGTATCAGAGCTAAATTGATCAATCCTACTAACACAAACATCTCATGTGAAAGGGTACTAGTAACTTTTTAAGTAATTAAATTTTAGATACTATTTTAAGTAATTAAATTCTCACCTATAACAAAAATGTTAATTTATACCACTAACACAGTTCCTACTTCCTTGTATGAATTAATGTATTCAAGAACCGGATGAAACTCCAATTCTAACCAGGGTGCTATCATGTGATCTCAACCATGAGTTTCACTTCATATAAATCCATGGGCATGCCGGGCATGCCTCACAGCATGCATACATCAGGAACTGCCAAAATTCGTGCCTTCATCTTTGACATCATACAGTTTGAACCATAAAGGGCTTTACAAAATGTACGAATTATGTTGACAACTCAAAGTGAAATAAATTTCATTCAATTTGATGTGACCCTCAATAATTGCTGTAAAAACAGGTGAATTTAAAAAAAGTATCAGAACATGCCATCCTGCTGTAAATTTTATCACCAAACTAGCAAAATTAGGATGTAGATATTTTAAATTGAACATAATGAAGCTAAAATAAGGAAAAATTAGAAATTAATTATTAAAAAAAAAAAAGAAAAAAAGAATGACTATAACTATAGAAATTGCCAATACCTTGACTTCATCATAAAGTTTCCTCTCCCAGGCATATAGCCTATCCAAGGTTGAGGCATGACTTCCTGAGGTCATGCAAAAATTATCAAAGAGATTACTGGTAAGGTCCTCAATCTCATCTTTTGAGTTTGGGCAAAGAGGATTCCTCGATGAAGAGGAATGTGATGACGTGGTCCGATGCCAAGTCAAGTACTTCACAGTAGTTTGAGCAGGCTCTGTGTAAACAAATGCAAAGAATTAGATGATTGGTCAAAACCTAAAATCTAAGTATATTTTATGCACACAGAAATTTTTTTTTTATATAAATGAGATGATGCTATGTGTATGTATCAGTAAAGTTACTAAATACATATATATAAACACACACACACACTTACAAGACAAACTAAGACATACTAAATACATATATATGTACACATACATATATAGCACCACTTACAAGACAAACTAAGACATATAACATGTAATTTGTGATCAACTTCCACATGAAATTCAGTTCAATCAACTAAGAACCATTAAATACAGAGATTAAGAAGCATTTTTAAAATAAAAATTAATTAAGCCAATCATTTAGTGAATTAGTGGTTGAAAGAATTCCCCAGTTCTAATTTCAAAATAATGTATAGCGGTGGCTTCCTGCACCACACATCAAGTACTTTAATTTGTGCTTGCCAAACCAAGGTCATTTTAAAAAACTCAGTGGTGCTTGCCAATCTGTCTCAATTGGATATTGGTGGGCTCTTAAGAAATTGAAAGGAAGCATGATATTTATCCTTTCTGACCATTATTCGAGAAGGCCGACGACAAAACTGGGACTTCATGGAGGGCTGTAAGCAAGCTTCAACACTAATTTAACAATTGCTAAAGCAGATCGTGCAAGTCTAAAAGAAAGTCAAAGATAGTAATGGATTTCCACGAACAGTTCAAAATATCCTGAAAGACGGTAGATAATGACATCTCTACAGCCAAAGACTGCATAATCATGTCGTTGAGATTTGTGAACTGGTCAATGATTCCTTACCCACGAGAAGTGCCTTATATTTAAAGGTTTCTTGTAGGAACATTATGCAACTACATGCAACTAACGACTCTTAAAGAAAACAAAGAAGAAGAAGAAGAAGAAGAAGATATCCTCACCACTTTTCTTTAATTACTAAAAGATTTAGAAAATGATAGAAACGGACAACACAACATAAAGTATTTATCGAAACTGGTATGAATACACAATACCATACACAATATATCCATCAATGTAACCAGAAGAGCATCCATTATTAAGAGCTGTGCACATAGAATAAAATGAGCAGAAGATGTGATAGGGGTAAATAGGCCTCTTAATATTTATTTATTTTTATGGTCTTTAAATATTCATTATCAATTTTTTCCCAACCTATAAGAGAAAAGACCACAACTCTAGCTCAAAACTATTGCCCCTAAGAATCACCCGAATTGATTTTCGTTCGACCTTTTTCTAAACTGACCTTTATCACAAGTTCAGTTATTGTCGATTAACAAATGATTTGATTAGTCCCTCTCCAAAATATTTTTAACCAACCCTTTCTCTTCTAGGAACTCCCTTTGCGGGCAGCTATCTATCACAAGTATTCTCTAAGCCCAGTTCTTTACAGAACAATGAAGATGCTATCAAATATCTGCCACTTGTCATTTTTCAAAGATTACAAAATATCAAACCAAGATAAGCATATGATGACCACAGACAAATTATCAATTGTTCACTTGATCTCACAAGACACAAATTATATGTGATAAAGCTCTCAAAAGTCTCAAACTTATCAAACTATCTCAATCTATTAGAGCATGCAAACTATCTCTATGTATATGAAAAAAGAACCCCAAAAGATTTTATGAAGTGGTTTTGAATTCCAATCCCAGTTTTTTTGCAGCTGAAGGATGCTTTATGGGTGAGGTTTTTCAGAGATAAATATACCAGGAATGCTCATTTTTGGTCTATGTTAGCTAAACCTTCAGACTCTTATCATTTAGAGTATAATGTTGCAGAACCTATTCTACAAAGTCAATAATGGAGCTTCTTTCAAGCTCTTTTTTGACCCTTGGCTGGATGGTCTTTCTTTGCAGCAGAGGTATGGTCTTAGAAGGCTGCTTCATGATGATTTTCAACATTCTGATTCAGTTGGAGTTCTCTAGGATTCTGACAGATGGAGTGTCTGCTTCTTGGACTGCAAAAATTGCTTTTCTTCTGAACAGAAGTTTAAATCATGCAGAGGAATATGCAATTATTTGGAAAAAAAAAAGGAGTTTTTTTTTTTTTCAAAGCTGTGTAGAATGTCTTCAGAAATCAAGCCTCGAATGTGCCTTGGTACTCTCTGATTTGAAATAGCTGCAGACCTAGGATTTATATGCTGGTTGTCCTAGTTCTGCAGAGTTCCAATACTTCTTTCTTTAATTTGAGGAGAAAGGATCTGCCTTGGGTATCCATTTGCCATAATTTCTTCTGTGGTGAGGACTCTAATACTCACTTGTTTTGGACATCCTCTTATGTAGCTCAACTATGGAATTGGTTTATTCAGTTCTGCAAATGGGAAGAACTGCAGAAGCTTGGTTCTTTCAGTGAAGTTACTTAATGGTGTTCTATTCACTGCCCCTCAGATTCAATGAAAAGTAGGGCCAGCATATGCTTTTTTACTTGTATTATTTGGTGCTTCTGGAATGAGAGGAATAGCAGACTGCATGGTGGTCCATCAAGTTATGCGATTCAGCTAGCTATGGAAGCCTGTTTGGAAGGAATTTCTACTCTGAATTTATGCATGGGTGATTTGAGACATTTGTTTTAGTAGTTTTAGCTGCTTTTCTCTTATCTGTTATGGTTAAGGGTATGCCCTTAACAAGTTCTTTTCTGTTTTGGTGGTTGTGTTTTACAACCTGCTCTTTTTGTACTTTATTGTTCATTTTTGTATATTAATAAAATGCAAAACATTCAGGGAAAAAAAAAAAAAAAAAGAATCCAATCCCAGTCATCTCTGGTTTTAGTAACCCTTTCAAAACTTGAAAACTCGTATTTTTCTAGAAAGTAAAAATGTAGGCATGAATCATACTGTATGATACAAAACACAAAAGGGATCGATCCCTTCATTCTGGAGCAGAGCAACCAAGCGCTCTTCTAAAGGGATCGATTCTTCAACAAAATGCTAGGATCAGTCCTTGAGTAGGGAGCTGCTCATTTTAAGTGTTCATTCCCAAAAATAATACATTTTCTTTTTCTTATTATCATATTTAACCACTAAACTTAAAGTAGTTCAAGCCAAATAAATCTTCTAGGTTAATGTAAGTCAAGTTCGAATCTTATGATCCACTCAATCCCCCCACATGGATCTTGATAACTCGTAAGCTTATCAATTTATCACCAAGTGAGTGTTGTGCAGTCTGTAATCAATATTTAATCAAGTAATCAAATCAGTTTTGAACACATCGACTGGCAAATTAATTAGACAGACTAGACTAGCTGACCCAAACTTAACATAATGACCTGACCAATTTACAAGCACGTGTTTTGCTACAGAAATAGCAAACACATATATATCAAGCTAGCAATCTCCCACTTTGGCAACTATGTGATAACACCAAACCCTATCAAAAGTATCATACACGACGTAATCCAATTGCGATTGATAATTAATTGTGTCAAATTATGAAAAATGATATCCTACAACATTTATCCCACAAATAATGACGAGCAAGAGCTGACTTGGTCACATGTCTCTGATTGTTTCCTGTAAAACAGCTATATGACGCAGCAACATAGAATAATAAGATCATAAGCAAATTCTGACATAGCTAGACTGAGGTTTCACTAACTCTCAGTTGGGTCACTGATGTGAAATCTTGTTAAACCAAACCAACAGTGAACCTTAGGTTGGTAGCAAAAGGAACCTTCTAGCTAATGGGTGCATTTCAAACTCACTGTACAGTCATAGCAATAAAATTATAAATTAATAACTGTTACTCCACTCATATCAATATACACGTTTTCTCCATTTTATATCACAAAGTAAGAAAAGGAAATAAATAAACAAGTAAAAGCGACTAAATAAAGCATAAAATACAATGAATTAATCACCAGTGAACAAAATATGAACCAAACCTTTATGCCCATAAATCACATTAAAAACTAGATAAAGCAAACCATAGTATCCATTATCTAGATTATAACAAACCAACCCATGTCTTGTTAGGCAACACCAAATTAAAGAACTGCAGTGATCGTAATGTCAATAGAAGAAACACCAAGTCCAAAAGCCAAATAGGCTAGAAAGACCATAAAGACCAAAACAAAGCGGAAGCATATGCATTAGTCATCAACACCCCTAAATCCTCTAGAGTGTAACACGCACGTCTTCATGCGATCAGTAACATCAGTCTAAAAGCCAACAAGACGTTCAGTGACATCATCGAATCAACAATCCGGTAGGCAATGGATTTTCTGGACTCGTTGTGCCCAATAGTCATCATCCACAAGATGGTTGCATGTAAATCAATTGAAACACCATTTATAATGTAACAAAGGAACACCAGCCTCTGATAGGTAATCCCGGTGCTATGTGATCTAGGGTCAGTATTATGAGCAACAATCCTATTTAATTTGATGGCAATTTTCTTTTTGCGTTTCTTTTTTTTCCTTTCACAATAAATTTCTTTTTGCGTTTCTTTTTCCATTTTCCTCTATTCCCCATGAACTTTTTTCTCTTCTATGGATTCTTGATAAAACAGGACTTGCAGTATTCTATAAGCAATTAACTTTCAGATTTGATTTATATTTCTAGTTTTCTGTCACTTCTTTTATGTCATCTCTTTCCTAACTTTTGTTGTTCAATTTCAACTCAGTAGGCATCTTACTTTTGTTTCAATTTGAACTTAGTAGGCATCTTACTTTTGTTAAATTAGAATTATTGTCATCTTCCCTGCACCACTTGTTGCAAGAAGAAATTGGGACGAGTCTATATCTGTTAATGGTTTTGAAGCTTTTTAAAGCACTATATGTGACCCTATGAGTTAACAAATAGTCCTATACATACAAAAATTCACAGAATTTGAACAGAAAGAAAATCACCCACAGTTACACACGAGCACCACATAAATGCATCTCTATGCTGGACTTGGACATCCCAAAATAGTTATCCATATTGGTTGAACACCAAATCACCAACATGATCCCATAATACCTTGGCACATAGAAGAGTATTACTAATCAAAAATTAAGATGGAAATACCAACCTTCCTGAACCTGGCTTGGGTCTTCCCCACAAGAGAAACAGGTTTTAAGTAACGCTGATGCCATTGACCCACCTGCCACATTAGAGTTTTCCATCATTAATGGCTTTCAACAGCTTATATGAGGATAATACTGCAAATAATTCCTCAAGTTAATTGGTAACTAAGCTGAAGATAATTTTTATTCCCACATCCAGTTGTCTGTGGTAAGCTTCATCCTAAACAAATCACTGAGCCGCATAAAAATGGGGCTCGATCTTCCAGGTAACAAGATACTCTAAAATGAATGATATTTGGGATAAATTCAAGAAATGCATACAGAGATAGTCTTGGACCTCATCAACACACTCCACTTTCAAATAAAATGCACAACCACTAACATTAACAATAAAAACAAAAAAAAAAAAAATACTCAGGATATGATACCAATATGGACACACACACACACACACAGAGAGAGAGATTACGTTCTTTTCCCGGGAATATTGGACGGAAATGAAACTTATTTGCTTCAAGCATCCTTGGAACTTCTATTCCGGAATCAGAAGCTTTTATGAAGAGAAATTCAATATATTTTATACTTGAAAAAATGTCCTTAGGGGCAACTTTATTTTCAAAATCATCTTCTTTTACCGGAGTTCTCTTTACGTCAGTGGGAAGTGCAACTTCCAAGGATGTGGCTCTAAGTGGTGATAAATCAGGAGAGTTTCTCTTCTCTCCATTCACGAACTCGGTTTCTAAGACAGCACATTTTGCAGAAGGCATAGCAAATGAACCACTAGCAACATGATCCGGTGCCCTGTTAACATTTTCGAAACTTCGAACTAGAGTATCTGCAGGAGGCTCGTCAAATTCATCTTCAGATTCTGGAGACGCTTTTCCTAAAGGAGAAGAAACCATGTCTTCTTCATCTTCCAAATCAGGAATACCCTCCTCTTCCCTAACCCGTCTTACATCATTGCCATTTTCGAAGCCTTGGTCCATTCCACTCCCTTCCTGTGAAGAAAAATGATCATCTATTGGATTGAAAAGGCCGAAGTAATCCCAAGGGGGAGTTGTCGGTGGGATGGCAAGATCTTCAAATGGTGATGTTTCAGGTCTTTCATTTGACTGAGGTGTGGTGTTATGTGGGGTACTTGAAGAGGTTATTGATCCCATAACAGGTACAGAAGGTTTTTCTTCGACTTTTCTGGAAAAGGTACCCCTAAATTTCATGTGATTTGCATGATAGCGGACAGAGGTAGGAGGAGAGGGAGATGGAGAAAGGTTTTCAGTTGCATCCACACGTTGTGACATAGATGGGGAAGAGAGTGAGAACTGAGAAAGGGACTTCTCAGTTACCGCAAGTGGTTCTGGAGTTGCGCTAGTGGAAGTGTATAAGGAAGATTCTATCGCAGGTTCAGGTTCAACAAATCTTCCCAAAGCAGTCCCAGTAATTTTCAGCGACTGTATGTAAGTAACATGAGTGACTGCTAGAGAACACCTGCCATTAAGTGCTTGCTTGACAAACTTTTTCCTTTCACGACACAGCCGCAGAGCTTTATCTTCTTCTATTTTAGAGTTTGAAGCCCCCATTGACCTAATGAAGCTCTACTCCTGTAATCCTGCTTGATTATGTGGTAGGAGTCAGGACAGAGGTTTCTTCCTGGAAATTGAAAATTCCATGCATATTAGGAAGTAAAAAAAAAAAAACAAAGCATGTCAAATTAATTCAGATCCCAAATCTCATAAACCCAAAATCTCATTCAAAAGAAATGTATTGAAACTTGTAAAAAAAGAGTCCAGAGAAAAAAGAACAAATCATATGCTTTCCAAAGTGGAAGGTTGATGGTTCAAGTTCCCGTAGGAACAAAATTGGGTGTGTGAGTTACTTGCCAAGGTAACAATAAATAATAAAATAAAATTAAAAAAATGCTCTCAAGGGGGAGGGAAAAAAAAAAACAGGAGGAGAAGTTATATTTTAAATGACACGTAAGGAAGATCCTAATTCCCATCCTTTTTATTAAGAAATGAATAAATGAACATGTAAGAATCATTGCAAGACTTTCCATATTTCAATCACATGCGGGAAGCAAAAGCAACAAGGATCCAGAACTGGGCAATCATTAACCTAATTCCTAGTCCCATACTTCACCAATTACACAATTAGAGATTTTAGAGTTTCCCTAACGGTTATCTAGTTCTGTGCATCCAGTTAAGATATCATACATGAACATAAACACGTGTATATTCATAATGTATTTAGGCAAAAAAAAACATGCCACAACTACAATACCAAGAAACATTAGGTAGAAATGTACAAGAATTTAGTTGAAGCAATCAAGCAATTACTCGAGTCATGAATTAGAAGAGGAAAAAAAAAATCATCTAGAAACCAAATACATCAATCACAAAGAACCAGGCAACAATGAAAAGACAACCATAACAACATTGGCACCACTGCCACGGCTGCCAACAAGCAGAAAAAAAATAGCAAGAGAACGCACACCCAAGATGTTGATGAACAGGAAAATATCTAAAATCAATTCATAATATAAGTATATAAAGCATTATGGATTTAAAACATGATTTGGAACAGTGATTTAAGTAGTCAAGTTCAAAAGACAGACTTTATCTAAAAACACTATACATAATCTCGTGGAATAAGTTAAAAAGGATGTTTGGGGAGCTTAAATTTAAACCAAATACTATATAAACGAAAGCAGAAGAGGAGAACCAAACTCAAAAGCTGAAAAACAGAAATTTGAAGCCTAAAAGCAAGGAAGTTTGAAAGGGGAATCTCCATTCATTAATGAGTTCCCTGATCAATTGGTCTATGGAATTGCCCAATTCAATTATACAAACAGATGCTATGGAATCACAAATCAGCAGGCAACTAAGTTTTTATATCATCGATTGCTTCTATTAACAATATAATATATACCAACCAAGAAAAAGAAAGAGAGGAATACCTTACGAAAAAAAAAAAAAAAAACCCTACTTTAAAAATCAAAATTTCATAAATTCAAACACAAAATCAATCAAATTCACATCAAATTGACACTTGAAAACAGTTTTAGAAACAAAAAACTCTCGGCAAAATCATCATTATCCTCAAAAAAAAAAAAAAAAAACCTTCAAGCATGCATCAACATAGATCAAGCACGATTCAATAACTAATGGAATTCAGAAACAAAGGTCAGAATTGAACCGAATTTCTAAAACCCAATTCGAATCCTAACACTGCACTGAAAAGCTGATTGCTCGAAGAAGGAAATGGGAAGATTTAAAATTATATTATAAATCAAGATTAGTTAAAATAATCGTGGGTTTTTGTGTACCTGTGAGTTGAAGTCAATTGGCAGTGTACGGAAGCCGTGGAATTCAGAGAACACCCATCCGAGGGGAATCATGAAAATTGGAGAGAGAAAGAGAAACTTTTAGAGAGAGAAAAAGGAAATTACAGAGTGGGATGGCGAATCCGGATGGATTCATGCAAAAAGCATATAGAAAAGGAAGAGAACTGTGTGAGTGCGTGGACTGTGGAGCCCACTTTAGCATACTCTCCACTTTAGCTTAACAAAAAGATGACCATCACTCTATTATATTCTAATACGTGACAAAGAGAGACCTACTCGCCCGAGTACGCAAATGTTCACAATTGCGATCGGTAAGTTGTTGGACAAGTTAAGAAAAATGAGTTGCAATCTGGGCAAGCCAACTCTCGAAAATTTAATTGGTGCTCAGCTTATGGGGAGTATTACGTTAAGGGTTTGGTTAATATTTTTATACCCACTTGAACTCCAAGTTTCCAACTGTCACACATTTTTTATATATTTATAATATTAAAATATTATATATATAGTTTAAGATTATGATCAACATTTTTTTTGACTTGTTTTTCTTTAAAGTTTAATTTATCATATTAATCATTTGAATTTTAAAAAAATCAAAAATTTATATTCAATTTTAGATTAAAAATATATATATTGCATAGGTGTTGAGATCGACCCTTTTTTAAGCCTGATTTCTCTAAGGTAACATAAAAAATGTGAACTTGGATTAGGCTCGGTTTGGAGAGTTTGAGTTGAAGTTAGGGGAAGGTTGAAACTTTTATAGTTTGAGTGGGGCTAGAGTTATTCTCTTCATTTTTTTTTTTTTTTTTCAAATCGAGAAGTGTTAGAAGGTAGGATAGTATATGTAAAGAGTCAAGTATGACACTCCAAAATTTACTGGAGGCACTAATTCACTCAGCTAACAAGACATCTGGTAGAGTTGTTCTCTTAACCTACCCAATTTGTATCATGTATAAATATATATTTGTGTAGTGGTGCAACGTTCTTTTTTTGTGTTTTTTTTTTTTTTTTTGGATACTTACCTCCCTTGTATTTAGGATCTCCCATCTAGTTCAGATCTAAGTAACACGGATCTTCCCTATCATAAAGTCTAACACTGAGTATGTGCTGATGTCATGATCAAACTTTACTTAAAACCCGCTAATGCCCTTAAAAAGCTTGAAAATATTATTTTCTTCATATATTTAATATTATGGTACTTTTGGTGTGCATGAATGGAATGGAATGCCCATTTCAACCATTCATTTATTTGGTATGCAATTTAAAGTAGGAATGATCATTCCATTGGAATGAAAATTCATTCCTGAGAATATAAATTCATTCTACAACAAAACCCTCATATTTCAAGTCCAAAAACCACTACTATCTTCCACCACAACCACCTCATCTTTTCATCACCACCTACTTCCACCACTACCACCACCTTCTACCACCACCACCACTATAGACTTTCACCACCATCCATCGCTGTCCACACCACCAACTTTCACCACTAACATCGCTTTCCTTTGCCGCAACCACTACCACTACCTTTCACCACAGTTACCACCTTCCACCACCACCTTTCACTACCACTACCTTTCACCACAATCACTACCTTCCACCACCACTTTTCACTACCACTACCTTCCACCACCACCTTTCACCACAGCCACCGACTTCCACCACCACCTTTCACAACCGCTACCTTCCACCACTGCCACCGCTACCGCCTTTCACCATTGCTACTGCCTTCCACCGCCACCACCTTTCATCACCACCACCGCCTTCACCTTTCACCGCCACCGCCTTCCACCACCAACATCGCCTTTGCCTTCCACCAACAGCACTGCCGCCTTCCACCAACATTGCCGTCGCCGCTTTACAACACCACCACCTACACCACTACAGCTTTCCATTGTCACCACCATCCACCACTGCCACTGCCACCATTTATTTTTAAAAAATTATAAAAGAATGTCATTTTGTTAATTTAGTTTATTTGTAACTACGAGAGATATTTTGGAGAACTCAATTTGAAATTTATTCAATTTTAAATTTTAAATTGGACCAACAAAACAGTATAATGGTTATTATCATTTCATTCTTAGACATTTCATATTTATAATCAAACAATAGAATGACCATTCCATTCTATTCCCATTCTGATTCTATTTCTACTTGCATTTCATTTTATTCCTCTACACCAAATATAGCATAAACTAAAATTGTTGCTGAGGTGTGGGGTTATCGACAGCATCCCCAGTTTGTAGTCTGGGGTGAGTTCCGAAGGGGCCCTGTCCAAAAGAGTTTCGGTGCAAGCCAGAAAAAAAAAAAAAAAAAAAACCTAAGTATAATGAATATAATAATCATTTAACACATCCGATTCAAAGTTTAGTCAACGCTATCGAGATAAGTGGGTATTATTTTTGAAATTATAGAAAAGGTTCTTATTATTTAGAAGATCAGCAAGAGTATTCAGTTTAATTATTCTGATTTTTCTATCAAGTAAATACTCACACACGTTTTGTCAATGTCATACTTGGGCATCATTGCTCGTATTGCGAACGGGTTAGAATTGACCCTTCAACTCGCGTGAATTGCACCCCCAACCACCAGGGCTTTCTTTAGCGAGCTTACATTCTAAAATTGAGATAGTGTGATAAGATAGTCTCATGATTGATCTAACGACTAAGACTGCAATTTTACTGCGAAAACACCTCTTCATAAACTTCTAGTAAACTATAAATGGGATCAGCGTATTTCTGCCTAGTATTTTGGTCTTAAGACGAGGTGATTTCACAAGGGTGCCTAAGTTCATCTGTGAACTGAAATATTTCATGATTCAACAATAATTTGAAAGTAAGTAATTATCTTTCCCTTTGCTACCTAGAAAATGAGTTTTTTTTTTTTAATCTAAAGCTATAAACTAATTAGTGAGAGGGAATTTTTATTTTGCATATAAGTTTCCTCTTGAATAATAATTTCAAAATTATTAGCCATATTTTAAAATAAATAATTGATGTTGACCTTTTTTTTTTTTTTACTTTTTGTCATCCTTTCTCATTTCAATAAACAATTAAAAATATTTATTAAAAGGAAAAAATTACTGAAAACACCTCTAAAGTATCCTCCGCATATCACTTTTATACCTCATTTGAAAAAGTGTGCAAAAAACATCCATAATCTTACACATCGTGCAAAAAAACATCCATAATCTTACACATCGTGCAAAAATACCCATCCTGACATAAATTAGTGTTGTAATACTCCTTTTGTCTTTTTACTCTTTAAAAAATATCCAAGGGGATTTATATGATACTAATCTCATAGTATAGGAGTGTTATGTGCACATTACATTTTTTTTTTTTTTTTTTCACCTGTTTTTTCTCAATGTATAAAGGCATCATATTACAGATCATTCTAATCAGAAATAGAAGTAGATGCAAGGTCCAAGACCTCCCAAACTGCAACTTTAGCAACAGAAGATGAAGACTGCAGCCGGTCTTGGTGAAGCTCGGTGTTTTTAGCTTTCCAAATACCCCAAATAGCTGTAATGCCCAACATTCTGTACGTATAATTCTTTTTGGAATCTAACCTGAAGGTTGTAACACACCGGTAATGAACAAGTGAAAAGAAGAGATAGAAGGAAGAGACTGTGATACCCTTAATTTTAAAATTATTAGCCATATTTAAAATAAATAATTGATTTTGACTTTTTCTTTTTCTTTTCCTGTTTTTTTTTTTTTTTTGGTCATCCTTTCTCATTTGCAATCAAACAATAAAAAATATGCCCACTATATATTGGAACATAAGCAATCAAATTCCACACTTCAGTATTATGTAATTGTTGTGGTTTAGTCCATGATGTCCAATGAATAATTGCAGAAATAGTGGCATCTCTTCTTAGCCCAACTCTCTCATAAACGTATAAGACATTTCTTAATATTTTTTTTTCTTTAAATGAAAAAGTTCATTAAAGCATAATAATTCACGCCTCATTAATAATATAAATAAGAAAGACCAAAAGAACATGTTTTTTAATCCTATTAATTACACTATTTGATTGTTCAGATTCTTCAACCTCTTTTTATATATGTATATATTTAAACCATAATTTTTATATTAAAAGTATTTTTAAATTAAATTAATTATACTTTTTATTCTTCATATTCTTCAGTATAAAAAAGGAAAAAATATTAAAAGGAATTTTTTTTTTTTTTATAATATTCCCACTATTTAAAAACAAACTCGTTCCTTCCCAAAAAGTTCCTCCAAAAAAATTCTAGAGCCTAATTCACATTATTCCAAACACAACAAAAAGAAAAAGAAAAAGAAAACTTAAAAGGGGAAGAAAAAAATGTAGCATTTTTGTTTTTAAAACACACGTCCACCCAACTTCAGACATTTTCTCTATTTCCAAATTTTTTTCTTATTTTAAATTTAAAAAATTTATTAACATATATATCAACTATATATAATGGTTTATAATTCCTCCAAAAAGGTTAAAACAAAAAAGAAAAGAAAAAAAAAATGTAAAAGGAAAGAAAAAGAAAAAAAAAAAAAAACATACCATTTATGTTTAAAAATTACACGCGAAAAAAAAAAGTACCATTTTTGTTTTTAAAACAGACGTACACCCAACTTCAGTTTCATAGTGACTTATATTTTCAATAGAATATTCTTATCTATCTGTACTACTTATAAAAATGTATAGAAATTTAATTATTTCTATACATTTATACTATTTTAAATTTTAAAAATATTACTAATAGTATTTTTAAATTATGTGATGTTTCATTGTCACAAGGTGTGTATTGTGACTTACCTGAACCTTGTCATTTTGTTTACTTGGAATTAAATGATGCATTACTGGCTTCTATAGCAATGGGAGTAATGCATTTGACATTCTCATTCTTCTTCCATTTTTAAAATTCCAGTTCTATATATATATATATATATATCCAGATATTAGCTTTTTATTAGCTCATTAACATTTATACATGTTAATGTATTTGTACTAAAATAAAATATCTCATTTCATTCCCTTTCTCTCTCGGCAAAAACAGGCTATTTATACATGTTAATGTATTTGTACTAAAATAAAATATCTCATTTCATTCCCTTTCTCTCTTGGCAAAAACAGGCTACCTCCCATCACTCTTG